AATCTTTTTTTTCCCTCTCCAGATTGTTGAATTCATTTAAATTAACCTTCCTGTCCCAAATAGCTCCAGCTTTCCAGAAACCTCTATGGCGATGGTACTGGAACTACTCGACAAACAATCTGACAAATTCAGCCATGTTTAGGAACACTTTCTTACTAATTTAAATAGAGATTGTCAAAAATCCATGAACAATAGATGCATACAAGCGTAAATGCTGAGATGCACGATGTTGAGCACTTATCTGTGAATAAATTGAACACTATTAAGCCACTGCCAGTCTGAAAATTAAATATGGAATGCCTGCATATTTTGCAAAAGCTTGAGACACTAACAGATTTAAAGAACCATTGCTCAAAAGCTATTATTTTCAGAATGCTCATTAATCAAATAGTTTGGGAGCTGGACAGCTTGTGTCTCTGGCTAGGACCACATTGTAGACATTTCTGCTTGGCAAAGCTTGGCCATTTATTTTCCTTTGTACTTGATTTTTGAGCAGGCTGCCCAGTTTCCGTGTCTAAATCCAGGTTGTCTGGATAAGGTAACAAATTCTGGTTTTTCCCCTGGCCTGTTACACATCCTTGTGTTGGTTCTTTTTTGTCGAGTTTGCATATATTTTTGCCCTCAAGCTCCTGCAAAGTGTGGGAATCTCAAAGACCACAGCACTTTTCAAGTCTTTTACCCATCCAGCAAACCAGACAGGGCAGGTTAGGTTCGTAAAGATGCTATACTGTTTCTGTAACTGCAGTGAGGTTCTCTCCAGAACCTCTTCCCAGCATAAGCAGTGAATGAAGCTTTCATTTAAATATGCAGAAATAACCAGGAGTGTCTTAAAACAAACTGCAAGTTGTTTTGTACCTATTCTGCTGTCAGCCTGCAATTCTTCTTTAGGAAAGAACACTTCATTTTTGACAATACACCTGTGATGGGGCTGACAGACTTCTAACTTCCTTTTCATTTTAACATTAAGTTTTGTGCTGCTGTGTGGTTTTTCAGCTCCTTTGAGTTCTGTCTGCTAAGAAATTAGTGTGTGTGGTTCAGCTTTCTTTCCTCCTCTTCACTGTGACCTTTTGAAGCAGTGTCTGAGTCCATATTATCTGCCACCTCTTTACTTTACACCAGACTTTTCAGACACTTCTTCTTGTTGCAAAAAAAAGTGATGGGTTGGTGACCGCTGTGGAATAACCGGCATGTTCTGCAAGTTTCATGCGTTGGAATATTGCTCGCAGAGGTTTACTTAGATCAAGGAGGAGGGTGATGTATTTGTCAGGCCATGGGGAAAAAAGATCATGTTGCTGAATATTGGATGAAAGATCTCTAGACTGATGAGGAATGTTGTATACGGCATGTCTGGCTTCCTTCACTCCCACAGATTCCTTATGCCACTAAGAAACTGCTGTTTTTCTGCTAACAGCTGAAGTGTTTCATTTGGAGCTGAAATGAGGGAAAATAAAGTCAGCATAACATAGTGGTATCCTCTTGAAATGGAAATCCTGTGGAAAGCATATATAAAAACATGTTTTTAAAGGGGTTCACCCTCAAGAGATTAATGAAGAGCCTGCAGAGGTGGACACTGATGTTTTTCTGATGTGTTAATATAAAATGGAGGTGTGTATTTTCCCATGGGGAATAACAGTTGGCACAGCAGACATTGCTTTTGTCATAGAATGTAGAAGGATGTGAGGATGCTGGAATCTCACTAAACGGACGGGTGGATACAGTCCTCCAGGCTACTGGCAGGAGCTCAAGTCAGTATGAAACCAAGGCACTGGTTTGACGTAACACCACAAATGGACACCTTTCTCCCATGTGGTCTAGTGCACCAAGGAAACCTGGGCAAAAAGATTTAAAGCTTACGGACAGCCTGAAAACAGCAACCTGCAGCTGGTCCTGAACAGCAATTGATCATTAAGTGGATACTTGTTACCACTGATTCATGCTGAATTCTGAGTTACAGGCCTCACTTTTCTACAGCTTGTGACCGAGCATAACATAAGTTAGACCTGAATCCACTGGATCCACTTACTTTGCTTAACTGTTTTTATCAGGCTGCTTACCTATGGTCTTCCCTCACTGTGCTATTGCCATGCATATGTCCGTCAGCTTTCATTTAGACTTTTAAGGAAGCTATGGTTTTTTTATTTGTGTGGAGGCTCTTACTTAGAAACCCTTGGCAGTGGGAGTAATTTCTTCCACAGCCCTAGCAATTTGCTGTCTACTGAAAGAAATAAAAGAGCAGCTGTTGGTGTGCAGAGACCAGTGCGCTATGAGCAGGTTAGATCATCTCATTAGGACTGAAGGCTCGAAAGCAGGCACTCTAAATTAAAATGAAAAGCTGATTTATCCATGTGATGGGGTCAGAAATGACAAGTTCTCATAATGATTCAACCTAAATTTGAAGATGTGAATTCTTACAGTTATGACACTGCTATTTTTAATAAAACAAAATATATGTATGACTTGTAATACCTTTGACAGAAAGCATCAAAAAAACATTTGAATAGCACAAGATCTGCAGTGTTGGTGTAGTGTCTATATTGTTACCATATTTTTGCAGCAGAAGTTAAAAAGTTAGGGGAGACAAGATGGGAGTTCTTTTTTCTACAGTCTTTGTTACTTTTAATTACACCAGTTTTTTCACTGTTTCCTGTGCATCTTGGCCATGCTCCATGTCAAACACTACTCATTGTTGGCTTTAAATTAACTTTATGATACTGGTATAGACTAAATTACTGAAGGATTTTCAGGTCTGTTGGTCTTGACTTATTAATGCATCATGATGAGGCTGACTCTTCACTCTCTTAGAGGGTGTATCTTTCAATTTAGAAGGGTAGCCAAAGTCAAGTAGGTTCTTGAAAGTGTTGATACAGTTTATTTTATGAAGACAGATACCTGTATGGACTGTGTAGAGTATCATAGTGAGGGACAGATGACTGTTAATTCCTAATCCAGTTCCAGTTGGATGTGCCCATGGTAGACACTAAGCTAATTATTTGTCCCCATCTGTTGCACGAAGGGCTAGTCCCCCTGCCATGTGGTTCTTCTCTTCTTCAAAGTTTTATTACATTGGTAAGCTGATGCCACGTCATTTTGCCTTTGTCATTTTTCTGTCACAATTTTCCATAGCGGAGATTAAAGATGTTCTGGCACTCATTTGCATCTCTATTTACTTTGGGACTTGTTTTCTGTACTCATGCATATGTAAACCACAAGGAAGTAGCCCCATCTTCTTATGTTTACCCTTATTTTTCCTGAACTTCTTAAAATCTGAAGGTCTTGATTCATCCATTTTCTTGCTTTGAGAGGTTAGTAACATACAAACTCTTCATGGCAGCTCATGCTATTGGGCAAGACCCTTCATCCATGGACGGGCTACTAAGTTCAATGCAAGTCTCTGACATTCTTAAGAGTACTTGTCAGGAAATTATCCAAACACCAGTTCTGCCAAAGCAGAAAAACAATTGGGCGTTGGTGAATGTAGGAATATTTGGTTACAAAGTCCCCCTGAATTCACTTTCTGGCTGGGCATGTGTTTTTCAGCTGACACCTGAGATATGCTCTCACTATCAGGTGAAAAGGCTGTTGCTTGGGACTAACAAAACTGGTATGTTGGGAGGCATTTGGACATTTGAGAAGTAGCTACTGTGGTTCACTAATGTGTCTGGTGGCAGAGGCTGCTCAACATGTTTATTCTGCAAAACACTCCCCCTTATGTAGCAGAGATGGTTGTCAGCTGCTGCAGTTGGAACAGATATACAACAGACACAGATGTTCTCTGTGTGTTTACCAAATTAAAATCTGTATCAAAGTTCTGGAAGCCGTCTCTGATTTTGGAAAGCATTAACACTGGTGTTACTTTTCAGGAACAGAGCAAGCAAAACACCTTGTCAGGCACAGTCCATTTTTTTATCACAGTCCTTTTTAGCTTAGAAGCCAATGTTGTTAAGACATATGTTGACTTACCTTAGAGACCCGTTTGCAAGACACTTATTAAATTTGCTGTACATCACTACTGTTATTCTTATGTAGGTATCAAACCTGGAAGCCATGAGGAACATACCGGTACATTTTTTCACATGCTGATCCATGCTTTATAATGCTGAGTGAGACATCACATGATCCTTCTCTGCACAGAATGATTCTCAACTGGCCAGCGTTCGCCTCCATACCGCAGCCACGGCTGAGAGACACAACCCAGAGCAGGGCACATGGGGACAGTGGATGAAGTCTGCATGATCAGAAGTGCAGTGCCGCTCTTTCCCAGACAATATCTGAGTTACAGAATCTCCAGCTAGGTTTTGGTTACCTATTTGTGCAGAACGACTCTTCTGCCCACACTACCTCTGCGTATGCAACACGGGATTTGAACTTCTGCCCATGTTTTCTTAGGCCTTTCTCTGTTGGATGCTCCTTCTGTCTTCACTCCAGCCCTACCAGACTGTATATTTACACTCACAATTGCACCATCACTGTGGATCACTCTCATTTTGTTTTGTTTATAAATACTTCTCTCTAGCATGGATACATGCTCTTATATTTCTCTTTCTCGTATTGAAGATGTCCACTGTGACACAGAAATTTGCCACAGAGCAAAACTCTTCTACGGTCTTTATTTTCAGGAAGATGTTCAATCTCTTCACTATAAAGCATAGACACTAGGCTGCTTGCTGAACCACATCTTCCAAAAATGGTTTGTCTCAAACCGGAGCTCACAAAGCTTCAAACTTCCTTTCTCCTCCTACTAGAGTGTTCTCCTCTTACTGGACTAGCATCCATTAACAATGCTTTGCCAATATCATGAAATATTTTGGGTGTAACACAACTATTTTAAGTCTAACCTTGAGTTCTGGTTTCAGTGAGGTATTGCTGGATGAGAAAGCCAGATGAAAGAAAACAAGCAGTAGGAACTGCTCCCCACAACCCTTCCTCTTCACCGAACCATTTCTCCCTTACTTTGTGCCTTATAAACCAAGGAAACTAAAAATTGTCATTTATGCACCTACTTTGTATTCTGGGGGTATCCTTGCTCCAAATCCAAAGGCTGGGAACATTTTATCACTGGAAAAGAATAAAAAGAAAAGGAAGAGTTCCCAAAGAGAAATGCATTTTGTTACAATAAACATTTATTCTGTAAGCATTCATCAAAAATGTAAAGCAGTGCAACAGTACAGAAAAGGCTTTTAGGTCAAGAGTGTTACATGGCAGACTGGAAGGGTATCAGATTAGAGAAGGAAGGGTGTGTGCTGACCAGATGGAGAACGATATGAGAGATTTTTCAGATGAATTCCTAGTATTTTTGGGAAGTTAAAATCATTTGGAGAACACTGAGGGATCAAGGTCTCTTGCACTTGTACAAATGCAATAACGGGTCTGTATTACCCACTCTTTTGCACTATCTCGCTGCAGCATGAGGGTGAGTTGTCTTCACAGCCTGTAACAACATTTATTTCATATAAATATGGATGTGCTCCCTCAGCTCAGAAAATGGGTCTAGTGAAGAAATGACTCTGTAATTAAAAGTGTTTGCAAATTTGGATCCTTACAGTTGTCCAGGTGCTAAAGAGACTTCCTAAAATATCCCAAAAGGGGCAGTTTCATGCCCCCAAACCTGTGAGTTCTGTAAAGCTTTCCACCTGCATCATCAGTAGTTCCACTAAAACAAGATTATTTTCATTAGTCATAGGTTGACTGATAACCTAGCAAATGCTGTGGCATGGCCAATTTGCTTTCAAACACTACAGTGAGGTTGTTCCACCCCAGTTAGATCTTTAGAGACAAAAAATCCTGATTCAGAGGACCTGGAAACTTCAAGGCTGTTAATACCCTTTCAGAAACGCAATAATGTCTCACACAGCCCACGTGCTGTCAAGCTGCCTCTTTCCAGATGGCAGTGGAAAACAACAAGCTGTAAGGAATGTCTCGTCCCTGAGTCAGCAAAGCATTTGATCACACACTTGAGGTTAACAATTCACCCAAACATATGCTTAACTCTAAACACATCCTGAAGCCCCGCTAAAGTCACTGAACTGTACTCCAGTGCTCTGATGAATCAAATTCTTTATAGGTTTATCCGATTCTGCTTACAAGGTTTCAAGGCCCTTGGAAAAGTTGAGTTCCTACTACCATTATTGGCACGTTCAGAAATTCCCAGGAGAGGCCAGCAGCTTCAATTTTCTTTGTGTAGTTCAAGACACTGCCACTCCAAGTATCAAGTGAATAAATTGCTTCCCAGACACACTTGAGGTAATAGCACCCATTAAAGTTGCTGGGCTATTCTGTCTGGCATAGGCTGTGAACGGCACCATGATAGTTCTGATACAAGCTAAAGAGAAATGTAAGGGTTTAAAAGAGAGCAGAAATAAGCCCCTCCTCCCCCGAAGTTAGATTTGCCACCATGGGATAGAGAAATAATCACCAGGTCATTGGGAAGCAGTGATGGCTGTCATCTGATGGCTTAGCTCTCACAACTGTTGTTCTGCCATGGAATTTAGTGGCTGCATAAATCTTGGGAGCACAATTCTGTGTACCGTATGTTACACGGTGTGACAAGGGATCTTGGAAAGGAAGACTAACATCGTTTGCATGGTAATGAAACATTTTTTTCCAAGAGATGTCAGAAACAAAGTAGCTACTGACATTTGATGCTAACCACCTGCTGATAGCCTTCTCTTTGATTAAACACTCATGGAAGCGGGAAAGCCCTTATAAACAGATGCAGAGAATTCAGGCACACACTTAGAGGGCAAGAAATCAGAAGCCATTAGAAAAGAATCTGAAGGGAGAAAAAAATCTTGGTTTACATCGATGATTAAGCATGGTTGGATTAGAAAATCAAGCCCTGTGGAGCTGCAAGTTAATTGATTTTGGGCAAGAGCAAACGAAGACTAAAAAAGAATTTTACTTAGGTAGAACGTAATTGTCTAAGCTCAATAAAACAATCCAAAAAGCTGATGTTGACAGCAATTACTCAACCAGGCAGATGCCTAAATCCATACAGTGCCTGCATTTGTACTGCAATGTTTCTCGAGTGTAAACAAGCGTAGGCACTCTCATATCTGCAGCTCCATGTTCTGCTCTGCAGCAGTTCAGAGACAAGCACTAAGCAATACCTCCAGCAGCCTGGATTCTCCTTGTGGTGGCGAGACTCCCACATTCCCAGTCACACAGTGGCACAGCCCCCACTCTTATTCTGCACTCAGAATACTTTACCACCCCAGCCAGGACACCTGCCTTTATGTCTGAATCTCCCGTATCTCCTTTTTCAGCAAGTGCTAGTTACTGCTCCCATTGCCTTGTGAAAGAGTAAAGCTCGATCATGTACACCCTCAGATGCGATGCCACGTGGGTGCTTTTCAGAGGGGAGTGCATGATTTCTAGAGAGGATGGCTACTCTGGAGTCTAGTCCTGTGCATAATACTTTGTCTTGCCTCACTCGGAATAGCTCCACACTCTCCTTAAGCAGCTCCTCATTTTCCGGAATTTAGGTACTTACCTCTGGTATTCTGATTCAAGCTGCTGGGACCAAGGAATTAACTGTCATGTGCTCCCAGAGCTTGAGCTTTAAGGTAAGAAGGGAACCTTTTGATTATCACTCATGACATCCCTTGCACAAAAAGATGGTCATGTTATTCCCTAACCACACCTCAAAATTTGTGGCCAATAGCTTTCAGAATAAAATAAAATTTTAATGTAAGCAATACTTTTCCTCCTATCACACAAAACACAGTGTTTAGCTAATATAAAGGTCTCACTCTTTAGTAAGTATGCAGTTTAATGGCTTAGTGATATTTTACAAAGTAACCTTGACTAGTCTTCCCATCCGGCCCTCGCTTTGTCATACAAGAAAAAAACCCAGCAGCGGAGCCTGCTGTCCCCATCCTGCTTATCCTGCACTACTGAGCCACAGCAGGGGAAAAAGTGACCCAGAAGGGCAGCCAAGGATCCTCTCGCTTCCAGGACAATTCCTTACGGTACAGAGGCATGACAGAGCTGCTCTACCAGACCCTGGGCTATCGCGGCAGCTTGCAGCAGAAAGCAGAGCAGCTTCCCAGCTTCTGTAAGCTACGTCAAGGGTTAGGCCGTCCAGGGACTGAAACTAGAGTCAGAAAACGAAAAGAAGTTTTTCTCCTGCCTCAAGGGTGAACTACATGCATCAGAGGCTCCAGCCCTGTTTCCTAACCTGGCATTTCAGAAGGAAAGGGATCTGCTCTAATGACTTTTCTTTTCTTCCTTTGTAATTTAAGCTCACCCAAAAGACGAAAAGTGAGAACCAGTTTTCTTTTCCTTTGTGTTGCTTGCTCGGGCATTTGAGCTTCATTTATATAAGGAAATAGGCCTTGGGACCCCTGGCTGAAGCACTGGGACGTGACTATAGACATGGTCTTTTGGCACCCTCCCTGGCCCCTGCCAACCAGAGACACCCAGGGTCTCCCAACTCAAGACAGAAGTCTCCCCAGAGACTTCCCAGGGACAGTGCTGGGGACAGCTGTGCCTGAACCTGCTCCCAAATGGCAGCTTGGGTATCACCAGTTTGTGCTGGGAGGAAGAAAGCTGAGATACAAGGACATGGGCAGTGTCATTACCTTGGCCTCAGGCCACATCAGGATCTTTGACTTGGTTTGTTTAAACCTAGCCAGAGAGACCTTGGCACATGCAAGGAAACTGCCTGTGCTGCCCTGCTGGAGACAGCATTGCTAAAGGGACAGGAGAGAAACACAGAAGTGGAAAAAGAAGCTGGTTTGATAAAACATGAATTTTACAAAATCAAGTAAGAAAAAGAGGATCATGGCTTGGCAGAATCTTTACAAAATTACTCTGTCATGTCTACTTCACATTTTATATTGTTCTTTGTTTTACATAGGTTCCCTTGAAAATTAAAACACGGCATAATTTTCAAAAAGTTGAATTACCTGACAAAAAGATCAAAAAAGCCAAAGCATTGGACTTTGACTTTTAGACCTGGTTATATAAGGGCCATGAGTAGTCATACAAGCATAGATGTGTATGGCTTCTGGTACTTTTTCCAGTCAAACAGGCATATACTACTGAAAGATACCAAAGACTGAGCAGATCTAGGTTATACCCTAAAGGTAAAATCAGGGAGAGGGTTCAGGTTCAGTGTTCATATTGGTAAATGTAAATTAATGCACACAGAAAGGAATTGTCAGGACGCTAAGACTGCAGTCTTCTGAACAGAAATACAACCAGCTAGAGAAAAGTCCCTCAGTAACTTCAACTTTAACGTCATGCATAGGAGAAAATAAATCCTGAAAATATCCCATATTACCCTTTTGGAACAACGCTCAGTTTTAGTCACTTATTCTTCAAGCTATCTAGTGGAAAGAAAGGAAGCGCAATGACAAATCAATACATTAACAGGGGCACAGAGGAGAGAGATTTCAGTGAGGTGTACAGCACAGACAGGAAAAAGAGATGGATGGAGGAAACAGTAAGGTTTTGTAAAGCAGTAAGTGATACAGATAGTGATACCTTTTTCTGTTTCATTAGAAAGCCTAGTGTTACTGGAAGGTAAGAAATATGTTTAAAATAAAGATAAGGAGACAAAATAAAGAACATGACAAAATCTTGTCTCATTAACCACTGGTGCCTTCTGACATGTAGTATCATTGAAACCTGGAGTTCAGCTTTATTCTGAGAAGGATTTGCTATTCAGATAATATGCTATTCAGATAAAACTCTTCCACTTGGTGAAATTAATTACTCAGACATTAGAGAGTCTTTTGCAACTTCCTCTGAAACTGCTGGCATAGACAATGCTGGAGATAGAGCTAGATACTCACCACTGTGGCAGTATCTGTATTCGGAAAGGAAAACAAGAGCTGCTGGGACTATGTTCTCTGAAAACTAGTTCCTTTTTAAAATGTAAATTGGAATCTAAGTTCTTAGTTGTATGGAATAAATGTAGGGGGGAAATAGGCCTAAGTCATTCTATATGCCATTTATTCATTCTGAAAGATGAACTTACAGCTAGCCACACCGGTTGTTTGGGACTCATTTTACTGGTGCTCAGGAAAGCCCTTTGGTACGAAGCTATAGAT